GTCTTGAACCCTATTCTGTAGCATAATATGAAATCTAAACTTCTATCAAACAAGGATGGTCTGTGAACAGGCCCATCTGGCGTGCGTTTTAATACTGAGATCCATTAACAGCCGCCTGCCAAAGCGCTTGCACAGCTCCCCAATACCTCTCTGGTTCTGCTCTAGCATGAGCAACATGTTTTGAGCTGATGAATCGCTCCGTTCTAACATCGAAGCCAGCATCCTTCGCATCCTTGATATGAATCTCTACCTCTTCGAAGGGAACCATCTCGTCCGCCTCTGAATACAAATATAACCTCTTCGTCTTCTTCCCTAACAGCCCGCCGAGTGAGCCGTTGGCGTTCAAATCTTGCCTCATGTGAGCGAAAAATTCGGGGGCACCATCAATCATATGCGCCGTCAGATAACCGTAGATACCGAGGAAAACAACAAAAAGCTTGATGAGGGTACGAAGGATAGGATTGGGTTGGGAAGCTGAGAATGCTTTGAAAGCACCACTTAGACGCCCGATTGCTGGGTTGGAGTCTAAGACGAGAGCTGAAGTCGCGGGTGTTACCGATTTTCGCTTTTGAGATGCCAAGACTCGGTGGAGGAGTGAGAACTGGCAGGAGCCCCCTGATAGTTGGTGTAAAAGGCGCTATCCTATCAACTACAATATTGAACACATACCGTTTGAAAAGGTGTGAACCAACACTCGTTTCAGTGCGTCTTCATTTTTCCATTCTCCTTTTTGGGATTGTAGATAGCCCAGCGCTTGGAGGGCCTCAACCAGAGGTCGTAAGTTCTTTCTCTGGTTGAAAGTTAGTTTTGGCTTCCATCGGCCTAAAACAGAACGTACGTTTGTCTTGTCTCTCGTCCAAAAGAATGAAGGCTCGGACCTGACGAGCAGCTGGGTTGCAGATGGATAAAGGTCGTCGTAGACTTTGGTATACTTGAGGATATGAGGCATGGCTGCGCCCACTGCGATGATAATGCCAGCGTCAGACTAGACTGGAATGAGAGACAACTGGCTACGTACTCCAGCCAAAGATAAGGATAAGCCTAATATACGAGCGCGTTAAGCATCTCAAACTCATATAAGGAGCTTAGTACGCACGTTGGTGGTGGAACAGACGACGCCGAAGCCACTTTCGACGCGCCCTCAGAAGGATGCTTGATGTACATACCCTTGCCCAAAGCGACGAACCCTGGGTCTTGAACGACTTTGGAAGTCATATCAGCCACAATTTTTGCTGAGTCCGTCGCCATGATAGTAATGGTTTGAGTTCTGAGTATGTGACCAGTCTTTGGGGTATGGGTTTAAATTTGCCACTCAAGAATCCGAGGTTTATCACAACAACGGTTAAGAAGATAACTGAGCCAATAAACCAATCCTTGTGTTCCTGACTGAGAGACAGCTATCAGCGCAGCACCTTACGAAGCTTTCTGCTTGGCAAACGTTTCATTGGGGTAAAATCGACATGAAAGTTTGGGCGTGAAAAGTTGGAAGTGTTGAACCCTGAGTCGGTTCGGTGAACTAATAACCGGCGGTAGTAACGCATCCGTCCATCCGAAGATATTTGGCGCCCACGGCAATCTCAAACACCTCCCTGTTCCTGACTTGATCCAAGCTTGATCTCACCGAAATGTCAAATCTTTACAAGTCCGCCATAGGCGCTCGTTTGGCTAAACTTCCGGCTGATATCCCTTATACGCGTCATCCAGGCGCAGATGAAGACGCCGAAGCCGATGAAGAGGAAGAAAATGATTTGATTGGCGATTTACCTGGTAGTGGTCTCGGACCTCCTGCTTTGCAAGTTGATTCTCGCTTCATACTGGATATATCATCTGATCCAAAGTGGCACATTTTACAAGGCCAGCTAATAACCCACGAAATAAACCAAAACGCGCTCCAAATTCCGCGTTTTCGCCAATCTCAGCTGCGGGTTTCTTTGAAGATGCTTCGCAAGTATCGTTACCTGATCGAGGTTTAGATTGTAGAGTATATTATACATCTCCAAAGTCGAAGAATGGAACGATCATGGTGTGTCACCATGGAGCAGGCTACTCGGGATTGAGCTTCGCATGCTTTGCGAAGGAAGTCACGGGAATGACAAAGGGAGAGTGCGGTGTAATGGCTTTGGATGCCCGAAGACATGGTGCGTTTTATGTGGCATGATTACATAGAGGACTTGGCTAACAGAGAAGAAGGAAAGACAACTTCCACGGATCCGACTGATTCAGATTTGTCGATTGGAGTGCTTATCCAGGATTTCTGCGCTTTGTTGCAAACTATCTTTCCAGATCCATCGTCGTCTCCTACGTTCTTGGTATGCAATTTCAAAATTCCTCGCTGGTGGTTTTTAATGTAGTCAAAAGCTTGTAGGCCATAGCATGGGTGGTTCCGTCGTGACCAAGAGTTGCCCTATTCTTCTCGAGAAGAAGTACAAGATCGCAGGTGTATCTGTTCTCGACGTTGTAGAAGGCTCAGCGATCGATGCTCTTCCGCATATGAACAGCTTACTCAATGCGCGTCCTGACGGGTTCGATAGCATCGAAGAAGCGGTGGAATGGCAGTACGTACTGTTGATCCATATCTCTCTTGGACTAGTGTTAATTTGCTGTATAGCGTTTCAACGAACACGATACACAATGCAAACTCGGCGAGAATATCTATTCCTGTTATCTTCCAGCACAAGGAGGGTTCTAATCCGCCTTATCAATGGCGGACGCCTTTACGGTCAACGGCTCCTTATTGGCTAAGTGCGCTTGGCCTCGGCTTTAATGAAATGAAAGTAATATTTTCATATAATAGGCTGGTTCCAGGGGTTGTCAAAAGCTTTCTTAGCAGCCCGCAGCGCCCGACTACTGGTTTTGGCTGGCACCGACCGGCTCGATAAGGAATTGATGATCGGGCAAATGCAAGGCAAGTTCCAGATGGTTGTCGTCCCCGGTGTCGGGCACATGCTACAAGAGGTGCGAATCTTCTTTTGTTCATGTTCATTCCTGCTGAATACACCGTCCATTTCGCGAATGATGTAGGATGACCCAACTCGGCTCGCTGAAATCCTCGTCGAATTTTGGAGAAGAAATGAAAGAGTTGTGATCGGGATCAAGAAAGTAGGAGACTTGTAAACGTATCCTTTGGCCAAAACAATTCACGTATGCTTTTCCTGGACGACTGTTGTGACGGCTGATGGGCTCATTGTCGCAGCGAACGCATTGAGGACTGAGTTTGATGGGGAAAGGGGCGCTTACGTAAACAATGGTCGCAGGCCACCCGACGAACAATTGTTCCCCAACGCTTTATTGTCTTCGATGGCTATAAGATGCTGGATGCTGCACAAACATGATTCATCACTTTCACCTTCCTCTTGGCTTGGCTTGGCTGTCCACAGGTGGACTAGTTTCTTTTCCCTTTTTCCTTGGGCGCTTCTTTCTCTTCACATAGACGGTTCTGGTAACGACTTTTGATCATTCAATAATTCACGATGTTCGCTCTTCTTTCTCTCGCTCTACTCTCTGTTGTTGTTCGCGTGTCTGGACACAGTGGTGAGTTAACGTTACTGCTACTTCATCCTCGACCTGCTCTAACATATCCACTATAGCGTTCTGGCATCCAAGCATGTACGGGTTCAACGTCACAGACAAGACCTACCCTTACGACAATCGTCCAGTTGCACCTATTAAGAACATGGACTTCAAGACATGGTGGTTCCACAACCATCTCGACCACCCTCCCAATGGTGGAGACTTCTTTGAACTCTCAGCTGGAAAACCCGCCACAGCCGAAATTGCTTGCAACAAAGGCGCAACGTCGTTCTTCGCCTCTGCGGATGGCGGTGATATCCGCAATCCCAGTAACCCGAATGATCCTTGTCCAGGATCTCCATCCATCACGTACCACACCAAAAGCCCGGATGATCTCCAAGGATGCGCGTTGGCTATTGCGTACAAGAGCGACGTGAACCAGGTTCAGCCGGAGGATTTCACGGTGTTCAGTGTGAATCACACTTGCGTCTCAAAAAGGTTTACGGACTTCCAAGTTCCGGCTAGGATGCCGCCTTGTCCTGAAGGTGGATGTACTTGTGCTTTCTTCTGGGTTCACTCAGTACGTCTTCATGATTCCTTTTATCGCAACAATCGACTCATGACTTTTGCTTCTTAGCCTCTTACGGGTGGCGAAGAGAACTACATGAACGGCTTCAAATGCAACGTTACCAACACCATTTCTAATATCCCCCTTGCAACGCCCAAAGTCCCTCGTCGATGCGGTGCCGATATCGAGAATCAGAAACTCCAAGCTTCTCCGGCTAACTGCACCTGGGGCGCCAAGTCTCCGATATACTGGTACAATAAGGAAAAGAACAATATGTTCGAAGGCGATTTCTCCCCACCCGTCTATAATGACAAGTACAACTTCATTGATGGTGCTCAAGACGATATCTTTGCCGATTCGTATCTTACGATCCCAGACCCTTCGCCCAGCGCGGATATGCCAGTCTTGGCCGATGTTAGTGTAAAGTTGCCCCTCAATGGCACTGCGTCTGTTGGTAGTATCCCTTCGTCGCCTGCCTCTCCAGCTTCTCCTTTCCAGGCCAGAGGTTGTGGACATTCTGCGACCTTGGCGAAACGCGATGTTGATGAGCTGAAGGACGTCGAGCGCGATTGGAAAACGTTCACTCGTGGCGGTTTGAAGGGCATGGCCCAAAGACGCAGGTCGTTGAAGCACGTTAGTAGAAGGAACCTCTGGCGTATGTGGTAAATCTTGTGTATCTCTTGGTCGAGCCAAGCAAGCCTCTCCTCTCCGCTCCCCACCTAACCCCCCCGCGATACCTACTCTCATTGATCTCTTCACGATGTACGATCTGGACTGTTTACCGGAAGCATACTTGTACTGTACTGTACTTATAACAACCTTATGACTATAATATTTGTGTACTGTAGTGTAATGACCAACACTTTTTGAACTGAACCAATTTTACAATAACGAGGACCTCGTTGGCTGGATGCCACTACCTGCCCGCCTAGCTCAATCGGATAGAGCGTCAGACTCTTACGAGAACCGGGCATCTGAAGGCTGCGAGTTCGACCCTCGCGGTGGGCTACTTCGGTAATTTTTTTCGACTTTCGGCGCTGTTTTGCACAGTTGTAACGATGCTTGACAGCCATTCCGACCCTGGGAAGGCGCGGGAATCTAAGACAGTGGCATGCGTATGTATGTCCTTCCTTGGCTTCAACGGCCACAACGTCTCTAGATCTGGCTCATTGGAGAACACGGCACAAAGATCATGGGTTCAGTGAATTTCCGGTACAAATACAGTACATCTGCCAGGTCTGACATGCGCAGAAAGCTTTGTCTCGCACGAGTGACGGGCCCAAGTTAATCCCTTCTTATCGATATCGATTAGCGTTAATCTACCACCAATAACCAAACCTGTGGAACAATTTTTACAACCACCATGCAGACATACAGTAATGCAACACCTCACCCAGCAGAGACTGGTCTACCGAACTTGACCAAGCTGGGGAACCCGAAGGTGCCGGATAACGTCGATCCTCAGAAAATAGCTTCAGCTTGGTTGAAAGAGTTTGCAAAGGCAGGGAGCACCGGAGATGTTGATGGTGTTCTGAGCCTTTTCGTCGATTCGGATTACCAGTCGGATTTGTTTCTACCTGAGGGAAGTACCTCAGCCCACTCACCCCCAGATGCGATACCCGTTTTTTGGCGCGATATTCTCGCATTCACATGGGACTTCAGGACCTTCGAAGGCACGCCTGTGATTCGAGAATTTCTTCAGGCGCGTTTGGCAGAAGTCAATATTTCAAATGTGCAACTTCAAACCGACGCTGGGCTCACTCCAACCTTGGACAAGCCGTTCCCTGATCTCACTTGGATTCAGTTCTTCTTCAAATTTGAAACGGAGGTTGGGTTGGGTTTCGGGATTGGGAGACTTGTGCCGCTGTCACTTTCAAGCGATAAATCCAATATCAAACAGACCAGCTTGGTTACTGGAGACGCCATTTGGAAAGCCCACCTACTGTTCACTAACCTCGAAGACCTCAAAGGATTCCCGGAGCAATTGGGTTCAAGACGCAATGGTCTGCCAAATCATGGCAAGTGGGAGGAACAGAGAAGAAAAGAGGTTGCGTTTGAAGATAGGGAGCCTACAGTTTTGGTGGTCGGTGCTGGTCAGAGCGGTCTGGAAGTTGCTGCGAGGTTGAAAGCTCTTGGTGTCGATTCTCTGATTGTGGAGAAGAATGAAAAAGTTGGAGATAATTGGAGGACGCGGTATGATGCGCTTTGCTTGCATGATCCAGTTTGTCAGTGACGCCTCATTTAATCCCCACTTTGTCCATGGCTGACATTTTTTGAACAGGGTATGATCATTTGCCATACCTTCCGTGAGTTATCTCCTAGCTTTGCTGATCAGAAAATGACGAGTATCGTAGCTTCCCGTCTACGTGGCCCGTGTTCACTCCAGCCAAGAAAGTGAGGGGCATGTTCCTTTACTCTTCCGCAACGAACTCTAATTCGGGCCAAAGCTCGCAAACTGGCTTGAGTCATATGCTGAGGCGCTGGAGCTCAACGTATGGACTTCTACTACTGTTCTCAATGCCACTCAGGACCCTCAAACGAACGTCTGGTCTATTAAAGTCAAGAAGGGGGACGGATCAGAGCGTGTTTTCAAGGTTAAACATCTTGTATTGGCGATCGGGTTCTTGGGTGGACGGGGGTATACACCCACGATCGCTGGGATTGTCAGTTTCGTTTGTACCACTTTACACCCAGTACTCACGCAGATCCTTGATAGGATAAATTCAAGGGTCAAACGTTGCACTCTATGGAACATAAGAAAGCGACTGATCATCTCGGCAAGAAAGTTGTAATTATTGGAGCGTGTACCTCCGGTATGAAGCATGTCGATAGTTCTAGTCTTGCGGTCAACTAACGAGTTTAGCCCATGATATCTGCGTCGATTATGCTGATCATGGCATTGGTGGGTTTTTGGCACATATTACAAGATCTGCATGACTAACTGTTATGTAGATGTTACCATGTTCCAAAGAAGCTCGACCTATGTTTTAAGTACAAAGCGAGGCGTCCCAATGTTGATTGGACGTTAGTCTGCTTTTTCCATCTCTAGCCGACCTGCTGATTGACACCAACCTACATAGCTTTGTACAATGAAAATGGCCCTCCTACTCATATCGCCGATCGCCTCAGTGCTTCTTTCCCCATCACTCTCTTGTCAGGGATCCATCATCGAGTTGTCAAGCTGGTAGCGGAAGTGGACAAGTGAGTCGTGGTTCCAAGTAACTCTCTCGAATAATAGGACCTGATGGAACCCAGAGAAGTGCTGGAGGGTCTCAAAAGCGTCGGTTTTCGGGTGAATATGGGGTACAAAGATGCTGGGCTCCTTCCTTTGGTTTGGACAAAAGCGTCAGGGTATTACATGGGTAATTCCATTGTCATATTACCTCGACCAAACGGGCTGAGTTTGAATCCCAATCTCATATAGATGTCGGAGGAAGCCAATATATCATTGATAAAAAGATCAAACTCAAGAACGACAGCCAAATTCAAGAGTTCACCGAGACTGGTCTGAAGTTCGATAATGGTAGCGAGCTCTCGGCTGATGTGATCGTGTTCTGCACGGGGTATGAACTTCTCTCTAAATCGGTGTCTTGGGCTATCTGTTGACCCAGTCTTGTCATCAAGCTTGGCTGATCCAAAATATGCACTGCGTACCATTTTCGGTGACGAGCTTGCAGATAGGCTACCTCAAGTATGGGGATTGAATCAAGAGGGTGAAATCAAAGGAGTATTCAAAGAGATTGGGCCAAAAGGGCTATATGTGATGATGGGTACAGTATTTCCCTCCGATCGAGTTTTTTAAAATTCTAATGCTGAATGTGTAGGTAATCTTGGCGCCTGCCGGTTTTACTCGAAACATATCGCGCTGCGTGAGTTACAATTACCATGCCGTCGTTTTCACTGATGCCAATGCGGCTTCTGGCAGAAATCAAAGCCGTGGAAGAGGGCCTGTTCGATGGGCGGAGGTATGGTAGGCAAGATGAGACCACTGTAGTGCCATAAAATTTTGCGAGTATTATATGTCAGAAAGCTGCCCCACTCACTTGTGATCTTTTCTATCACGACCCTCATTCGATCTTTATCTACTCGATAATGTCACACACATATACAAGTCAAATCTCACAAGGCTTGGACACCAAGATCCAAGAGTAAAATAAAATCGTCAGAAACCTATCCAAAACGAATAGATCCACCTTCATGCAAACGTCATTCTCTGACAGGTGATCTTTCCAAATTCTCAGAACGCTGGCGGTATATATATTTTATATAAGGTGCTGACATGAATTGTATCATTACCAATCGGTTTACTCTCCACTTCTTTGCGTTTATAAAGCTTAGATTTGCGAGCGCTCTGCGAACTCCCCTTCCCAAACGATGGAATATTTAGATAGACACAGTACTTCTGATCCTCATCCCGCAGAGATCGGTTTACCAACGCTGTCCAAGCTTGGCAATCCCATAATACCCGACGATCTTGATGTACAAAAGGTAGCAGCATCTTGGATTGAGACTTTTGGCAAATGTGTGAACCAAGGTGATGTGGATGGAGTCTTGGCCGTGATGGTCAATTCGGCTTTTGCCTCCGACGTCTTGCAAGCGAAAAGCGTTCCAGACAATGCAATCCCCGTATACTGGAGGGATATCCTTGCTCTCACTTGGGACTTTAGGACCTTCGAAGGGACAACGTCAATTCAACAATTTCTCCACGACCGTCTGAGCGATGCCAAAATCTCCAATGTCCAACTAGGCGCAGCCAGCTTGGAGAGGCCATTTCCGGACCTCGTATGGATCCAACTCCTCTTCACGTTCGAGACAAAGGTCGGGCTTGCCTCAGGGATAGTGAGACTAGCACCACTTCCAATCTCAGCCAACCAACTGGGGTCGAACACGGCTGGACTCAACACAGGTGATGTGACTTGGAAAGCCTTCTCCATTTTCACGAATCTGGAGGACCTTAAAGGGTTCCCTGAAAATCTTGGGTCAAGGCGGAACGCTATGCCAAACCACGGGAAATGGGAAGATCAGCGGAAGAACGAAACCGCTTTCGAGAACAAGGAACCAGACGTGTTGATCATTGGAGGTGGTCAAAGTGGGCTGGACGTTGCGGCGAGGTTGAAAGCTTTGGATGTCAACACTTTGGTAGTGGAGAAACACAAGCGTATCGGTGACAACTGGAGAACTAGATATGAAGCACTCTGCTTACACGACACCGTTTGTGAGTTGTACACCTTTTTCCCATGAAAATCACTCCAACCTTTGTTTTGTAGGGTATGACCACATGCCGTATCTTCCGTTCGTCGACAAATCGAAATTATTTTTGGTTATAGACCCGCTGAACTCAGCCTGGATTTAGATTCCCTCCGACCTGGCCTATATTCTCTCCTGCGAAGAAGGTAGTTTTCGACTCTCTACACATTGTCAGTCCTGTCCTGACTTTTCGCAGCTCGCCAACTGGCTTGAATCGTACGCAGAAGCACTTGAACTCAACGTATGGACCTCGACCACTGTTGTAAGCGCTACGCAAGATCTGAATAGCAAGATTTGGTCGGTGAAGGTCAAGAGAGACGACAGATCGGAGCGGGTTTTCACAATGAAGCATGTTGTAATGGCATTTGGGTTGAAAGGCGGGAAAGGGTACATTCCCCAGTATCCGGGAATGGTATAGTAACTTATGCATTTTCGTACCGTACTAGAGCGCTTATTTCTTCGCAGGAAAAGTTCAAAGGCCCAATATTGCACTCTGCCGAACATCATAAAGCAGAGGATCATCTAGGCAAAAAGGTCGTCGTGATTGGTGCTGCAACCTCTGGTACAGATTAGTCTTCTACTCGCTTTTTGCCAAAGTCTGACCTTTGATTAACAGCGCATGATATTTGCGTCGACTATGTAGACCACGGCGTTGGTGAGTGTTAATAAGTAATGAAACGTGGTGGCTGACGCCGAAGTTGTTTGAAGATGTCACGATGTTTCAAAGAAGCTCTACGTACATTATGAGTGCCGCCAAGGGA